CGGAGGGAGAAATCCCTTTACTGCGGGGCAGAAGGATGCACCGAGGAGCGAAGCGCTGTGGTCACGCAGCACGTGAGCAGGACTAGATGCGATCCTCCAGCGCCAGGGACCTGTGCAGCGCCGGGCGATGCCGCCCTCCCATAGGGAAGCACGCGCGAGCCCGAGTCCTCGGCTGCCTCCGCCGGCCCTCGCTGCCTCACCACAGCGAGCGAGAACGCGGCAGTCACTTTCCAATTTATTTTTATCTTGTTGCTCACATGCTTTTTAATGTTAAATGTTCTGTGGAGGAGGGAGTTTCTGCAACTGCAGAATTAATAGGAGTTTAGGGGTTTTCAGTTGAACTTGGTAATAAATTTTTGCAAATCACAGGCTCACGCTGACAACCTGCAGCAGCCAAGTAATATTAATGAAAATGTTCCCATTCTAATTGTGGCTCCCTCCGCACGTACGCACGGAGCAGCCCTCTACCGCGTACAACCCTTGTGCATCGCTTGTACTTCAGAGACGCTGAAGTGGCACTGGCCGAGGAGTGACCCCCTCGAACATCTTCGTGCCTCGCTTTGCGGCACGGCTGGTACCGGCCAGGAGCTGCCCGCTGGCCCGCCAGGAGCTGCCTGCTGGCCTGCGGAGAAGCCAGGCCTGGCCGAACGGGGTTTAACAAGCCTGCTTTGAACAGCAGCTCCGGAGCCTAACGAGGAGCAGGAAGGTGCTGCCTGTACAGATCAGGTGTCCCTGTGCTCGGGGCGAGCGTGCCTGGCGGGACGCGCTGCTCAGCGGCGTGGCTTCTGGAACTGCCCGGGCTAAATTGTTTTCTTACCGTAAGGACGTTGAGTTTAATTTTATTTTAAGCCATTAAAAAACTATCCGCTTTCCTGTGATCTGATTTCATCTTCTAGCTGTGTTATGGCTGAAATGTGGCTTCGGAGAATTAGACCGGGGTTCTCCTTCAGTGCACAGACGTGTTTCCAGGGCTTGTATTTGAAGAGGGTTGGCCCGTGCTGTCTGGTTGGAGAGGTTCCTTGGTATGGAGTTGTTATTTCTTAAATGTACAGGCTCCCAGGTGCAGGGGGTTGATGGAAATCATCTGCTCTGGATGAGACCTTTGCAGCGGGAGAGCAGCAGAGGATGGCTGTTGTGCGTGGAAAAGGAAAAGGTTTTCGGAGCTGCCTGCTCATCAGCCGAGGGAGCGCGGGAGGTGCAAGCGGCATGAATTGAGCTGGAGCAGTGGAGATGTCCCCACACACTGCTGCCCTCGTCTGCTGGAGACTTTTACTCCGCTGGTAGTTCGGTGAATGAACGAGGAAACCTGTGCTTCGGCACAAAGTCCAGTGATTGAGTTTAAACCTGCCCGTTGGCGGTTTTGCCTGACCTGCTGGACTTTGCGCGGAGGAAAGCAGGCTCTGTCCTGCTGGTGGCTGCGTGCTGGTGACCCACATTGAATTTGACAAAATGACAAATACGACTGGATGAGCAGAGCTGGGTTAGAGCTTTCAGGTTGCAGGATTTGCCTTTCCCTGGGCTGCAGGACCCTGCCCTGGCCCAGGGATGGTGGTAGGGAAGAGACTGGATGCAGCTAGTCCGTTAGTCCATTAAGCTTGCATCTATGTGACCCATTGCAAATCCTCTGGGACCTCTACATCTCCCTAAATGCTTTTGACTCTCAGTTTCAGGACGCTGGAGCTGGGGACTGGGCAGACACTGGGTGGTTACTTGGGGTTTCCTCTCCCTGGCTGCTGGGAGTTGAAGCCCTGTTTCTTTGAGAGCGTTATCAGACATTTACTTGTTGCAAACCTTGTATCATCCCTCTGACGCTTTCTGGGATTCTCAGAATATCTTCAGCAAAATAATAAGATGTTTAGAGTCAAACGTTTGAGTAGAAGAGAGCCCTTCCTTTGCTACCTCGCTGGAAGACTTGGCGTACCGTGTCGGCAGCGTAGTCAGCCCACGTGAAAGTGCTCCAGGTCACGGAGTTCCTCTTCGGAGAGGAGCAGGTACTTGCAGGCTTGCTGTGATAAATAACCCCCTCGATTCCTCTGTGTCTCCTGGCAGCATCCTGGCGAGTACCAGTCCCTGCTGGGGCTGAGCCCGGCAGGATCCAGCAGCTGGTGGCTGTATGAGTCAAAACGCCTTTACATTAGGAAGATTTTTACTTCGTGCTTCAAAGTCACAGGCGGGATTTGCTTGCTTGAAGAGCAAGTGCCATCAGTTTGAGGATAGAGTTTCTTGTTTATGCGGGAGGTCTTGAACAGCTCGTCTGTACGCAGTCTTTTCATTACGTCAGGGATGCAGCGAGGTGTTTTATTGCTCAGGTTTCTCAAGCAGCATCGAACCAGCCTTGATTCAAACTGGCGTTTGAGCAAGGAGCCACTCACCTGCGTTTGATAACTTTTATAGCTGTGGCTGCTAAGAATGTCGTTACCGGCCCTCTGCACGCAGCGGGAGCCCTGCAGTTAGCCTGGTTATAAACAAACTATATCAGTGCTTCGAAATAGATGTGAGCAAAGTTGGATTTTCCACTCACGCGCACCGTATCTTCCTTATGCTTCTTTGTGGGTTTAGGACAGTTGCCTGGTAGGAGGGATGCAGCTTGGCTGCTGGCAAGAAATTGCCATGCTGCTCTGCAGATAGATATTCTGTCTCTCTTGCTTGGCTGGCTCTGTGAAAGGAAACTTAATTTTTGTTTCCTGAATTGGCACCTTGAAACTTTGTTCACTGAACGCATCCCTGCAGTGGGACTCTGGTGTGGCTGCGGCTCTGCGGATCCACTGGAGAGCATGCAGCAGGATTTGTGCTTTCACCGGACAGCATCAACAAGCAAGCAAACAGAAGCGCAGAGGAAAGGCTGCTAACTCTCCTTGCATGGGAAAAGGATCAATACTTGCATAAAGAAAACTGGAAAAATACTTAAGAAAAGCTGTAGAGTCAGGCTTCTTGCAGAGGTTAGGTGTGCGAGCTGGGCAGCAGGGAGGGAGGCAGCAAGTTGCACAATGCTTGGCAGGGTCCAGTTCTCACCAGCTTGCAGCAGGCTGCTGTGTGGGTCGCTGGGAGCAAGGCTGGAGGTGCAGGGAGAGGCTGGGGTTTTGTCTTGTTCTTGTGCACATGGCATGCCAGCAGCGGTTGCGCTCAGTCCCTCAGCAGGAGCTGCCTTTTGTAGCTGGATGATTTAGGAGACGGAGTGTCAGGCTGGGATTTGGGGGATGACAAGCCGGGCACAGGGTTTTTTTCCTCCCCTGCTGTTTGTTTGGGATTTTTTTAGAGGGATGCAGGAGTAGATGTGGCTAAGCAGCCATCAGCCTGACTGCAGGTGGGTGCTCTGCGCTAGGCTGGACGCAGCCCCTTTGGGAGGAGAGGGCCAGCCCGGTGCTCCCCGGGGCAGTGCACCCATTTGGCTGCAGAGTCCTTGGTTTGAGGATGATGAGGGGGTGAGATGGCAACATTTCTGAGCTGTCAGCCTGTATCTTGTTAGCACTCTTTGTTGATGCTTTTAGATGCCTCCAGTTCAGTCCATGCTGTGGTGGTGTAAGGCTGCGTACGCTCCTCGAAGCACCATGGCATGAAATGGAGGCTCCTAGAAGCAAGATGGAAGGTACAGTACTGGCAGCGGCCCCACGAAGGACCTGCTGCCTCCCTCTTGCGCTGCTGTTTGATGGTGGGGGGAGAACTGGTAGAAGCCTGTGCCGGGAAAGGCTGTCGGAGGAGCCGGTGGGCAGCAGGAGCGGTGCGTGTCCCGGCTGCAACCACAGCAGCGTGAGCCTGGGCGGCTGCCCCAGGTACCGGTGCTCCCACCGCAGGGATGCATCCTTCACCGTAGGCTTTTTAATTTGTGAGATACGGAAACAGAATTGGAGAGCTGTTAGCACTTTGCTCAGAAACGAACATGGTTTTCAGTTACAGCGACATTCACGGCTTGTGTTTCTCTGTCTCCTTGCACCGCAGAAAAGCAGGGTCCAGAGCGGAAGAGGATTAAAAAGGAGCCTGCCACCAGAAAGCCTGGCTTGCTCTTCGGAATGGGCCTTTCGGGGATCCGGGCAGGCTACCCGCTCTCCGAGCGCCAGCAGGTCGCTCTCCTTATGCAGATGACAGCAGAAGAGTCTGCAAACAGCCCAGGTGAGATCAGAGGGTGGTTTTGCTTAGAGGTACAGGCGGACGGGTGCGAGCTTGCAGCGAGAGGCTCGCGAATACCTGGGCTTCTCAGTGCCCAGCCCCGGGGTCACCGGGCGGTTCAGGTAGCTTCTTGCCGGCGGCAGAGAAGAGCTGCCACCCCCGGCGTGGTGCAGGGGGGCTGGTGTGCTGCTCCATGGGGTCTCCCTGCTCTCAGCGCCGTAGGTGGGATGCTGGAGTGGGGCAGCGGGACGCCCGCTCCCACGGGGCTCTGCAGGTGACTCCAGGCACGGGCTGCCGCCGGGGTTCGCACGGGGCTGCGGCTGCCCTTCCTTCTTCCAGTCTAAGGCAGTAGCAAGAGATGTCCCACGGGCTGAGTCCAGGCCACCCCTGAGCCTGCCCTGGCTGCTTAACAAGAGCTTCGGTTCCATGGGAGCCTCCTCCACGTCAGAGCTTTGCATTTTCCACTGGCATCTCAGGCTAACTCAGTAAAGGAGCATTGTGAATAAAGTTAAAATATCATCCTCTGCAGGTTTTTTAGTATTTCTTCTTGTGGAGAGGGATAAGACGTGTAACCACTGCAACTGTAATTTGAGATGCGGAGCAGCTGGAATGTGTTTACCACGGATTTTGTATTGTAGTAATTTTTATCTGTTGCATACATGACCCCCCAGAGTTTTTAGAGGCACTGGGCTATCTGTATGCACACATCTGCATCCTACACGCAAATGTTGCAGCTTTTAGCCACGTATTTTGTTGTTCTTAACACCAGTCTAGCTGCTTATGTTGCTGTTACTTGGGGGAAACAAAAGGCAAAAAGCTGTGTAGTCTTCAGAGCATTCAGACGTTCTCCCAGAAAATGTGCAGCCTCCTCCCAAGGCTGTCAGACCTCACATGTACTTGGTAAAAGGCCACTTCCCTTAGGAAATGAGGTTTTAGGGTAAGGAGCTGCATTGTCTGCTCCTAAATCATGGGATTGCCTACAGTCTTTGCAAGGGCTGCAGTTCTCTCCAGTGGGCTTTGGCAGCCTGCAATTAATATCTGCATTATACGCGCACAGGCTTTCCTCTGTCTTCACATTGACTTCAGAGGTTCAGTTGCCTCTCGATGCCTTGTGATGAGTGTTTTGGGGAAAGCCGAGTCGAAACGTGTTGCAAGAGCTCCCTCTAAGGGTTTAAGATTTCCTTTGAATTGTGATTCTTGACTCTGTTTCTCTCCTTCGTGCAGTTGACACAACACCAAAGCATCCCTCTCAGTCTACAGTTTGTCAGAAGGGAACTCCTAACTCTGCCTCCAAAACCAAAGATAAAGTAAATAAGAGAAACGAGCGAGGAGAGACTCGGCTGCATCGAGCTGCCATCCGAGGAGATGCCCGGCGCATCAAGGAGCTCATTATCGAGGGTGCAGATGTCAATGTGAAAGACTTTGCAGGTAAGCAGCCCGCTGGCAGTGCTGGCGAGGCAGCCCACGATCCGTACCTTTTCCCACCTGCTTGCATGTCCCACCTCCGAGAATGGCTCCCACCAGAGGCAGTAGTTTCTTTGTAACATGGGTTTGCTATTTGTAAAGAGGGGATTAACCAAAAATAATCATTTTACCCTTTGGGGATGAAAAAGTCTTGCGCTCCTTTAAAAAAAAAAAAAACAACCTGCTACAGATTTGTCAAAATAATAAATCCCTGAAAAACATCAGGGATGTTTTTCCAATGTTTTTTCCAATGTTTCTCCAATATTGTTGGAGTTTGGCGGCTAAATTCTCCGGCTGTCCTGTCTGCTCTGAACATGCTCCCGCTCGGGGAGGGGATGCTGGGCTGGGCTCGATCTGTAGTGATCCCTGGGGCTGCCGCGGCTCCACGCGTTAAAACTGTGACCGGGACCCTCTGCTCCGTTTTCTTGTGCCCTTCCACATGGGTGCTGTCTTGGAGGTCTGGAGGGGAATTTGCAAAGGGAGGTGGGGTGTGTTAGCTCTTTTTTTACTTAAAATGTAAGAAACGATGTGCACAAAAGTATTGAAAAGAGTGTGTTTGTAAAATCGTTGCTCCAGAGTTGAATGGCTGATGCCAACAACGTTCTGGGGTTTGTTTTCAAGTACCAAATGTGGGGGTGCTGCTGGCGGGGAGCGGTGCAAATGTGAAGGACAAGGTCAGGCTCCCAGCCGGGCATCCGAATTAGAGGAAACACTGACCGTCCTGAGCCTCAGCTGAGGAGTAGCACCACCTCCTCCTCCTCCTCAGCAGTGCTGTGAAGCTCCTGCTTCTGGTGGTGGGAATGGGGAAAGGAGCCTGGGTGTGGGCTGCGGCTGCAGCCGAGCCTGGGATGGGAACAGCCCCGAGTGCTACGGCGAGAAGGCAGCCGTGAGATGATGAACGGTGCCGTTCGTGCACACCCGTACCAACGATGGGGCTAAATCGGCATGAGGCAGCCTTTCTTCCAGCACGTCAGAGAGCTTGGCTTTGCTCTTTGCTGTTCTCTTCACATGATTTTGGGGCTGTAAATAGATATGCATGTTCCTCCGCCTGTATGATTAATATCAGTGCTAGACTGAGCTATCAGTTGTGATTAATTCTGGTCACAGGTGCCCCTTTTTAATGCTCCAAGTGAAGGTAACGGAATGAGCTCCCACGACGCTATCAGCAAAATACCAAAGGAGCCACGCACATTTGCTGGGAAACTTCAAAACACTTTCTGCTTAAAAATAGTCTGTTTGAACATGATAAAATATTTCATTCTGTGTTCTGCGGAGGTTTGTTTGAGAACTAGAGCCACTGTTACTGTGGAGACCTGCTGTTTGGTTTCTCCCCGAGCCGGGGGCCTGTTTTGCGGCAGCATGGCTGCTTGCTTTGGAGAGCACGCAGAAAATATTTGTGAGGTTTGTGTGGGGGATGTTTCAGAGCGATGTCTGCAGTTCAGAGCTCCGTCCTGATCTGGGCGGCAGTGTTTTCCTTACAGGGGAGTTGGAAGGGGAAAGGATTTGAAACCTGCCTTCCACGCAGCATCAGCAGTTCTGTTAATTTCCTACACAAAACTTTGCCTTTCCGTTTCCCGGGGCTGTGTCCGTTCTGGCAGATGATCTGTCTGTAGCACATTGCGTGACCAGAGGGAAATGAGGGATTCATTCAACTACCGCCTGGCTGGGGTAGCAAGGCAGAGCTGCAGGTTTCTTCCTGCTGTGCCATGGGGAGCTGGGCAAACGAGACCATCTTCTTGGCCATCAGAGCCACAGACCCCTTAACACACCGGCACCTGCAGCGTCTCTGGACGGAGGTTACTTTTCACTGTCTCTGACTTTCTCCATGAAGGTGAATGTCTGTGTTCTGAGTGTCCCTTTGCTTGCAGGCTGGACGGCATTGCACGAGGCATGCAACCGGGGTTACTACGATGTGGCAAAGCAGTTGCTTGCTGCGGGCGCCGAAGTCAACACAAAGGGGTTGGATGACGACACCCCGCTGCACGATGCAGCGAATAACGGGCACTTCAAGGTAGGTTTTTGCTGGATTTCATAGCTGTGCTTTTAATGACTTTTTCTTTCCTTGTGCTTCAAGCAGCCGACGGTGCAAATACAGAGATTCTGGTTATTTTATTATCATTTGCTGCTGATAGCCATGTAGTGGGCAAGAATTTCCCTGCCCCAGTGCTGTTGAGTGTTTTACTTGGGTGTTCCCCTGTGCAGAGGGATAGTTCGTTGTTCTTCTTCTGGATTAGGGGAGGGAACATGGCTTTGTGTTTCGTTCTTCTCCCTTCTTTCCTGCCCAGGTTGGTTCATGTTGCTGGTTTTTGTCTCCTTTCTTATTGATGACTGTCCGTACCATAAGGTGTGTCCTGAGAAGAGACTGCTTGAGGACATCCCCCTTTCAGTTATATATGAAAGTTGTACAAAAAGCCTGGAACTGAAACATCATGAGCATCTTCAAGTCTCAATTTCTGTTTTCAGGTGGTGAAATTGTTGTTACATTATGGAGGGAATCCTCATCAAAGCAACAGGAAGGGCGAGACACCTTTAAAAGTAGCTAATTCTCCCACCATGGTGAATCTGCTCCTGGGAAAGACCACGTACCCCTCTAGCGAAGAGAGCTCAACAGGTGAGATTGACCTTTATGTGAACATGGGAGTGATGTTTGTGGCCTGCAGCTGTCTGTTAATACAGAGACGTTAAGAGGACAGTGAAGTTAGACTCTTGTCAGAATATCTGCACACTGCTGCCACGGTCAGGAGTCCATCTGTAGCTGTAACCCAAATTCAGACAACATTTAGCTCCGGGAGCTCTAGCTGTTTGCCCTGGAAGCCTACGTTGAGCCTGGTGCAATCGAGATGTAGGATTGGAAGCCAATTGCAGGTAAATGGATGTCTTACCTTTGAAATGCAGGTAATATTCCAGCTTGTGCGTAGAGAGGAGGAGGTTTGCGTGCACGTCGTGTATTCCCATCCCTCCCTGGCCAGGGGGGCACAGCGCTCGGCTGTACCAGTGCTGATGTTTCAGGTTGTGCTCCCAGGCTGTCCCTCAGCACAGCACCCTGCTAGAGCCTGTCCCGCGAGTGCCACCATTGTGGTTGTGCCAGGTGGGACACGCTGAAGGTTTTAATTAGTGCTAATTGGAGTTCCAGTCTTATGGGGAGTCTTGGCCTATGCTGTTCGCAGTCATAACCCCGTTAAAAAGTTCTTCTTTTGATAGACCCTGGATGTTGTTGTGAGGACCACCCCGTGCAGGTTTGAGACTGGATAGCTATCCCATTCTAAAAGATCTCCCAACCTGGCCTTTCAAGCTTTCAGCTGCAAACTTAGCAAGGGCTGCGTGAGGCGAAGGGGCAGCAGGGCCATTTGGAGGGGTTCACATCTGCAGCAGACTGATGCTGTTCCCCCCTGAAGCCCCTCGCATCCCTTAACGCATTGTTGTTCTCTCTCTGCAGAGACCTCAGAAGAGGAGGATGCCCCTTCCTTCGCTCCCTCCAGCTCTGTTGATGGCAATAACACAGACTCAGAGTTTGAGAAGGGTTTGAAGCACAAGCCCAAGGCCCAGGAGCCCCCCAAAACCATCACCCCGGTGAAGGATGAGTATGAATTTGATGAGGACGATGAGCAGGACCGGGTCCCGCCAGTCGATGACAAACATTTGCTGAAAAAGGATTACAGAAAAGAGACTAAAGCAAACAGTTTCATTTCCATACCCAAAATGGAAGTGAAAACTTATACTAAAAATAACACAATTACACCAAAGAAAGCTGCCCACCGCATCCTGTCGGACAGCTCGGACGAGGAGGAGACCAGTGTTGCTGTGGGGACGGGGGAGAAGCTGCGACTTTCGACCCACTCGATATTGCCCAGCAGCAAGATTCGGGAGCCCGCCAGCACAAAGCCGCAGAAGGAGAAAAGCAAAGTAAAAAAGAAGCGGAAGAAGGAGACAAAAAGCAAAGAGGTTCGGTTTGGCAAAAAAAATGACAAATTTTGTTCCTCTGAATCAGAGAGTGAAAACGTGGAGAGTGAGGAGGATGATAGAGACTCTCTTCAGAGCTCTAGCTGTGTAAAGGACTCCAGGCTAGTGCTAAAGGAATCCTCCTTGTTTAACTCTCTGTCTGCCTCATCAACCTCTTCTCATGGGAGTTTAGCATCCCAGAAACATAATCCTAATCTTACAGAACAGCACTCCAAGCACTGGAGGACGGACAATTGGAAAACCATATCTTCTCCAGCTTGGTCAGATGTCAGTTCCTTATCGGACTCCACCAGGACGAGACTGACGAGCGAGTCAGACTACTCGTCCGAGGACTCAAGCTTAGAGTCACTAAAGCCAGTCAGGAAGAAACCAGAGCACAAAAAGAAAAACACCCCACACAACACTGTTTCTGAGAAAAAGAATTCATTCCATAGCAATGTGGATGGAGCAATTCCAAAGCTGGACAAGGAGGGGAAGGTTGTTAAAAAGCATAAAACAAAACACAAACATAAAAACAAGGAGAAGGGGCAGTGTCCCATCAGCCAAGACATTAAAATAATCAAAACGTTTTCTTTTGAGTTTGAGGACTCTAAACAAAAGCCTGAGAAAGGCTTGATAGTAGAGACAGAAAATCCAGTCGAAAACAAATTGAAAGTGTTAAAGCATGAGCGAGAACATGGTAAGAAGGAGGAAAAGCTCCCCAAGGGTAAAGCAGAGGAGAAGGAGTGGTTGTTTAAAGATGAGACTGGAAAATCCTCGAAAGAGGAGAAATCATTAAGAAAAGTCAAAGATGGTAGTAAAGACATGAACAAATCCTTCAGAGAAGGATTAAGTAAATCAGAAAAAGAGAAACCTGTAAAGGAGAAGTCTCCCAAAGAGGAGAAGCCGAGAATACACAAGGAGGAGAGAAAGAAGAAGTCAAAGGACAAGCAGTCAAAATCTGAAAAGAAGAACGAGCTGAAGGAGGAGAAGGTTTCTAAACTAGAGAAGGAAAAATCCTTCAAGGAGGAGAAAGAAAAATGCAAAAAAGAAAAACTTTACAGGGATGAGTCTGGGTTTGATGAGTTCAGTAACAAAAACCAATTTCCCGAAAGCGAGGACACGAAATTCAGCCTTTCAGATGATCAGCAAGAGAGGTGGTTTTCAGACTTGTCTTCTGATTCATCCTTCGATTTCAAAGGTGAAGATAGCTGGGATTCTCCAGTAACAGATTTCAGGGAGATTAAAAATGACACCGTGGCAAAACTAATCATAGAACCTGTGAAAGAGGAAATTAAGGACAAGAAAAAGGAAAATAAAACGAAAGAGAAGAAGGAATACAACGAGAAACGTAATGAAAAGGACACTTTCTTAAAGAAGAAAGAGAGGGACTATGTGGACAAAAGCTCCGAGAAGAAAAAGGACCAAACGGACAGACACAAAATTACTCCTAGTTATTTGCCTGAAAAGGATAAGAAGAGGAAGGATTCTGCAGAGAGTGTCAAGGAGAGGAAAGAAAAAGATACAGGTGAAACCAACAAAGACAGAAAAGATTCCTCTGATGGCTCTAAAGAACGAAAAGATACCAAAACGAAGCAGGAGGAGCCCTATCGAGATGACTTCAAAGAATACGGCTGCGAAACGTTCTTCAAGGATAAGTCTGACCCCGAATTCAGTGGTAAAACTCTGGAGAGTTGGGAGAGGCACCATTCTGGGAAGGAAAAGGAGAAGAAGGATGCTCCCGATAAAGAAAAAAAAGAAAAGGTGAAGCCAGAAAAATACAAGGAAAAATCGAAAGAAGGTGACAAGGAGAAAAATGAAAAAGCTGCTGCTGAGAAAATCCTGAAAGACAAAGAACTAGACAAGAGTTTCAAAGAGAAAAAAGAAACTAAAGAGAAATACAAAGACTTGCACAGCAAAGACAAAGAAAGGAAGAGTTCTTTTGACCAGGTTAAAGAGAAGAAAGAGAAAAACTTCTCCGCGGATCGAGAGGACTTCTCCGAGAAAAAGGATGAGAAGAAAGGCAAGGAGAAAAGCTGGTACAGCATTGCAGACATCTTCACGGATGAAAGCGAAGACGAGAGGGATGATTACAGCTTGTCTGGGTTCAAAGTCAGCGACTCCGCTGGGAGCGAAATGCATCGGCTGGACAGTCTGCAGGAGAAGGACGATGGCGCAGCTGCTGAGAAGGAGCTGTACCCCGACAAGCACCGCAAGTACTCCTCTGACCGGCAACACTCAGGAGAGAAGCAGAAGGATAAGGACTCCAAGGAGAAGAAAAAGGACAAAGGAACATCGGAAGGGGGAAAAGAGAAGAAGGAGAAGAGTTCCTTTGAAAAACACAAAGAGAAGAAAGAGAAAGACTCTACCGAGAAGTACAAGGACAGGAAAGACAGAACATCCATCGATTCCACTCAAGAGAAGAAAAACAAGCAAAAGCTCCCAGAAAAGGTTGAAAAGAAACACGCCAATGATGACAAGGTGAAAAGCAAGCATAAGGAGAAGCCGGATAAAGAGCATTCCAAAGAGAAAAAGTCTTCGAAAGGAGGGGAGTCGGAGAAGAGCCTGCTGGAGAAATTGGAGGAGGAGGCTCTGAATGACTATAGAGATGACTCCAATGACAAAATCAGCGAGATCTCTTCTGACAGCTTCACAGATCGGGGACAAGATCCAGGACTGACCAGCCTCTTTGAGTCTTCTAACCTCTCTCTTACTGATGCCGCTGAAGAAAAGTTTAAGGACTCTCTCCCTTTACCCTGCTTGCAGGACAAACTCAAGGAGAAGGAGAGACACAGACATTCCTCATCTTCATCAAAGAAAAGTCATGAGAAAGAAAAAGCAAAGAAGGAAAAGACAGAGAAAAAGGAAAAAACAGAAGAATTCAAAGACTCCAGCAGCAGAAAGGATTCCGCTCATTATGAAAAAGATTTCTCTGTGGATGGGGAGGCTTTTAGCACTTCCTACAACATGAAGGCAGAGCCTGATGAGGAACCAGAGAAAAGCATTGATTACTTATTTTCTGAAAAGAAAGATAAAAATGATTCTGAAAGAGAGCTGTCAAAGAAGGCGGAAAAAGAAAAGACTTACGGTTCCAGCACCATCAGCACAGTTAAAGAGAAAAAGAAGCGAGATAAACACAAGGAAAAATGGAAGGAGGAAAAGGAAAAGCATAGAGACAAACACGCAGATGGTTTCTTTAAGCATCACAAAGACGAGCCAAAGTCAACACTTAAAGACAAGGACAGTCCTCAAGTTACCACCTTTAAAGATAAATCAAAGGAGGACAACCTCAAATTCGGTGAAACCAAGCTGAAAGAGAAGCTCAAGGAGAACCAAGAGAAAGACAAATCAGAGTCAATAAAAATAAGCAATGGGAATGAAAAAATAACCCTTTCCAAAGACAGCGGCAAGAAAGACACCAGGCCAAGGGAGAAACTTCTGGGAGACGGTGATTTGATGATGACCAGCTTTGAGAGGATGCTAAGCCAGAAAGACCTGGAAATCGAGGAGCGCCACAAAAGGCACAAAGAGAGAATGAAGCAAATGGAGAAAATGAGGCACAGGTCCGGAGACCCCAAATTAAAGGACAAACTTAAAAGTTCGGAAGATGTGCGCAAGAGGAGTCTGGATCTGGCAACAAAGAAGCCGTTAACGCTGGATACTCAGCTCAAGGACAAGAAACTTAAAGAATTGGGTCCTCTGACTCCTATACTGTCCCCAGAAAACAAGGCACAGCCTGCTGTTGGGACAGACTCTAAGGACTGGATAACGGGTCCTCAGCTGAAGGAGATCCTCCCGGCGTCTCCCAGGCCGGATCAGAACCGGCCGACGGGAGTCCCGACCCCAGCATCCGTCGTCTCTTGTCCAAGCTACGAGGAGGTGATGCAGACGCCCAGGACTCCTTCGTGCAGTAACGAAGACTACACGGACCTGATGTTTGAATGCGCGGACTCGCAGCACTCGCTGCCCATATCCACGATGTCCATGAATGCCTGTTCTCCATCCTTCTTTGACAGATACACGAATGTTTCCAGTGGGCTCCCCGAGAATCCAAGTCAGACCCCGACTCGTACCATACCCTCCACGAACCTTTATCGTTCCATCTCGGTTGATATCAGAAGGGCACCTGAAGAAGAATTCAGTGTCGGAGATAAATTTTTCAGACAGCAAAGCGTCCCGGCGACATCAAATTATGACTCTCCAGTGCAGCATTTAATGGAGGAGAAAGTTCCCCTGCCTTCTTTTCCGGCTGATAAGTTCCAGTGTTTATCTCCGGGGTATTACTCACCAGATTATGGGGTTTCGTCACCGAAAGTGGAAGCTTTGCACTGTGCGCCAGGAGCTGTCAGCGGAGTCGCCCAGTCGCCTGAAAGTGTCTTTTCTGGTTTACAAGCAAAATCCTCCCCTTCACACAGAGATGAATTGCTGGCTCCTTCAGTAGAAAGTGCTCTTCCCCCCGACCTCGGCATGCCCTTGGATACCACGGAAGAGCAGCAAGCTACTGCCTCCATTATGCCACCAGAATCTACCTACTTACCACCAATTGAAGAAAACCATTTTAGTTCGGGTATGCCAGAACAAAACAATATAGACTGGGATAACCCTCCTTCCAGAAACCCTGACACCGCCATTCCTCCCAGCCTGATGGGTAACCCAGCTGAGCACTCTGTGAGCTGGTCCATGGGCTCAGAGCTTCTGATGAAATCTCCCCAGCGGTTTCCCGAGTCCCCTAAACCTCCGCTCTGTTCCCTAGAGCCGATTCATCCTACACCGGTAGCCTTCATTCCCGCAGATGCTTCCTACCCCGTTTCTCCCATATCTTACCCTCTGTCAGTGTCTGAACCGGGGCTCGATGAAGTCAAGGAGGATGCTGAGGAAGCAGTTCCAGGAGAAATAGCAAATGCCGAAGAGCAAGCTCCGTACATGTCCCCTACTAGGTTAGACACGTTCTTCAATAACTGCAAGCCTCTTCCAGAAGAAGCACCTGAGATACCTCCAGAGCCCCCTTGTATGCCAGCAGAACCTCAGGCAGAAGTTGTTAGCGCGCCAGAAAACAACTATTTGGAAAACAATAACGCTGCGCCTGCAAATACAGAGGAGGCGGTAACGTGGCCTGATCCCTTCACCAATACAGAAGATGACTTGGACCTTGGCCCCTTCTCGCTACCAGAGCTGCCGCTCCAACCTAAGGATGTTGCAGAGACAGAGATGACGGAGGCAGAAACGGTAGAAGAAAGCCCAGCAGCAGCTTCAGAGACAAGCGCTGGGATCATTAAAGCGAGTGCGTCCATAATAGCATCCGGTGAGCCGGAGGAGCCGCCAGCCAGCCAGGCAACTGCTGTCCTGCCTGCGGAGACGGAGCCACAAGCAGAGGAGCAGAAACCAGAAGTGGCTGCACAAGAAGCCACCTCAGAAGCGCTGAACGTAGCTGAGGAAAAAGGAGCAGAGGACTCGGAAGCACAGATTTTCCAGCAGACGCCGTCCGAGCCTGCTCAGGCGGAGAGCAAAGAGGCGGAGGCCACGCACGAAGACCTGTCTTCTTCTGGTGGGGTGGCAGAGAGCGGCTCCCAGACCTGTCCCCCACCCGTGGCCACCGCCGAGGGCAGCGTTTCACAGGAGGGTGCTGCGGCACGCGGTGGGAGCCAAGTCCCTTCGTCCCAGGCAGATGCACCTCCGAGCAATGCTCAAGCAGAAATCGTTGAACCAGTGCAAAAACCAGTAGCAGAAGCTCCCAAACCGCCCAAAATAGAAGAGATTCCTCAGCGGATTACCAGGAACCGGGCTCAGATGCTTGCCAACCAAAACAAGCAGAACGCCGCCTCTTCTGAGAAGGAATTTCCTCCCGTTTCTGCGCCCGCCACACGTGCCAAAGGCCGCATTACAGAGGAGGACGATTCCCAGGCTCAGCACCCGCGCAAGCGCCGGTTCCAGCGCTCCAACCAGCAGCTGCAGCAGCAGATCAACACGTCCACCCAGCAGACGAGGGAGATGATACAGCAAACACTGGCAGCTATCGTAGATGCTATAAAACTGGACGACATTGAACCTTATCACAGTGACAGGTCCAACCCCTACTTTGAGTACCTCCAGATCAGGAAAAAGATTGAAGAGAAGCGGAAAATCCTCTGCTATATTACTCCCCAAGCTCCGCAGTGCTACGCTGAATATGTCACCTATACAGGCTCCTACCTGTTGGATGGCAAGCCTCTAAGCAAGCTCCATATCCCAGTGGTGAGTCACCTTCTCTCTTTAACCGGAGCATCAGGGACTGTCCCTTCCCGTGCTGCTACAAGCACAGCCAGATTGTCCCCTATGCACGGCGAGCGTCCTCGCAATGCCGATGGCACCCCAGCCATTGCTTTAGCCTACTTTTAGAACATGCTCATGACGACAAATCTAAGCCTCGGTAAGTGGATGGCTGCGTGATAAATGCATCCTCTGCAATGCTGTATTTTTGCAGAGAAGACCTTGGGCTGTGCTTAGGAACCTGAGATTTGTTGAGGCGTTAGAGCAAGTTTGTATGAATCCACTGGATTTGAGGCTGGAAGGCAAAACTGCTTTTACAAGCAGTAGTAATTGGATAATGAACCTAGGAGACTGTAGGAAAAAGATGTCTCTTAACTCCTGCCTTCATTTTCCCAAGCTCTGATATTTGTCTTGCCGATAGCACTCGCTCCTTGGCAATGGGATCTGCATTTCACTGCTGTGCTGCATGAAAGGACTTGCTAATACAAATGCATCAATAAACTTAATGCTGCAGGCAGTAAATCCGGGATCCAGCCTGGAGGAGGAGGGTCGATATGACCGGCCATGTCAGGCTTCGTTCCCTGCTGCAGGCAGGGTGAAATACCCCGGTCTGCGAGTATTTCTGTTGCAGTGTAGTCCATGCGTGAGTTACTGTGTGCATGAGTTAATGCGCACTTTGTCTGCCCCAGCACCGCAGTGGTTGTAGCTTGTCTTCACATCTGCTTGTTCCTTCCTGGACTAACCCAGAGCCGCCTGCTCCTCTGTTCTGCAATTTGGGCTGTGCTTGAGGAGCGCCTTGCTCCCCAGGGAAGCGCGGGACAGATCAGGACACAGGCACCCTTCCCGGTGCGCAGACTGGGCTGCTCGAGACGGGGCTGCTCACGGCAGTATTTCCCCAACAGTATCATGCCCTTCGTCAGACACTCTCGGGCCCCTTTACAAACTGCCCTTGCAGCACGTGAGGTGATTTAGGCTCAGGTTCTGCAGGCTGAGCTCGTCTCTCGGCACTGGACACCTCTTGCCCTGTTGTCTCACCCCTCGCTGTGGTCTGAGCGCTGGCAGGACGTTGTCCTTTGCCACCTGCCTGCTGAGGAAATAGGCAGAGTTTCTCCTCCGGCGAGCTCCGTACAGCACCCTGCGGGGTGGCACCGGCTCCGAGCCCTTGGCCAAGGTGCATTTTGGCTAGGCAGCCGTGCCGCAGGCAGGCCCTGTGTGGCGGGGGGAGCAGGCAGCCCCCGCGGGCCGTGCACCCAGCAGCGTCGCTGGCTCTAACCCTCCGCTGTCGTGTGCCCGCAGATCGCCCCGCCGCCGTCGCTCGCGGAGCCTCTGAAGGAGCTCTTCAAGCAGCAGGAAGCCGTCCGGGGGAAGCTGCGGCTCCAGCACAGCATAGAGCGGGTAAGGGAGCACACCGGGGAAACTCCTGCTGGGGAAGAGGTCCCGAATTTCCTCTGCTGGGGAAACGGAGGCTGCCACGTTCACTGCTTCGTTTGCTCTTCCTCAGGAGAAGCTCATCGTCTCCTGCGAGCAGGAGATTTTGAGAGTTCATTGTCGGGCAGCAAGGACTATTGCCAACCAGGCTGTGCCCTTCAGTGCCTGCACCATGCTGCTGGACTCCGAGGTCTATAACATGCCTCTAGAAAATCAGGTCAGTGCCTGTCTTGGTGGTGAAGAAGTGTCTCAGAGGTGCTGTGCGAGACCCCGAGGGAGACGGTGCTTTTCTGGACGGAGGGAGGGGTGTAGGCAGGAGCTACTGGTGCTCTCCCTGCTCAGGTGCCTGTCACCCACCGCGGCACACAGATGCAGGACATCCTGCCGGAGCCCTCCCCAACATGTGCCCAGGTTGCCCAATCTGACTCAGTTTCTGGTGTCGCATGTTCTGGGATAATTTTGCATGCCGGGGAGGGAAATACATCCGGGAACATGGGGATACAGGGAGCATCGTGTCTCTTTAGGAGCAGAGATGACTCACGTTTAACAGTGAGTCTCTGCCTTTCTTCTTGATCAGTATCATCAGCACACTTGAAAGATTTATTTTACTACACTCCGGGATATCTTTTCCTGTTGAAGGAAGGGGAGAGAGCCATTAAATTGATTTGTGTCTGAATAGTGGCTTTGAAAGAGCCAGACTCTGTCTCACAGCCCACAAAAAGTGGTCATCTCTTCTTTTGATTTCATGTCGTTCTGTGCCGGAGAAGGGGGAATCGTGCCCGGTTTCTGCAGCCGGTGGCCGTGCGGCTGCGGTGGTCCTGAGCCATCCCGCCAGCACCCTCTGCAGCCCGCGCACCGCAGCTGCCGCCAGCCCGGCTGCTCGGGGAAGCACGCTGCTGCATTGCCGGAGGGATCCTGTGCAGGGACAGGATCCTGGAATTTATTAGCGACCTGGCGTATTGATCCAGGAGCCTTGATGTATCCCTTGACATTTCCCAGCCAAGCGTCTGTGCTTCCACAGCGAAGACGTTGCGATCTTGGGCATGAGTTGAAGGAGACAAAGAGGTGCGGGTGCTGTGACAGGCTGGCACAGGCAGATTCTCTGCAAAGCAAGCAAAAATGGGGAGCGCGTGCACGCACGCGTGTGTGCATCTCTACCTGAGGCTGAAGCCCCTGGCAAAGGGCTGCAAGAGCAGCTGGGAGCAGCGTGCTCTATTCTCCCTCCCTGCAGGCACCTTTCTTGTTTCTGATGAGTGTGTGCCCTAGGAGGGGTTTGAATACGGCCTGTTGGTCCTGTGACTGCTTAAAGTAAAAAAGAAAAATCTACCATGTAATTCCCTTTTGCTGTCTTTTGCTTAGGGAGACGAAAACAAATCGGTCAGAGACCGTTTCAACGCGCGACAGTTCATTTCCTGGTTGCAAGACGTGGATGACAAGTACGATCGGATGAGGGTGAGAGGCGCGGGCCGCCGTGTGCTCCGGGCTGCCGCCGCGGCACATGGGCAGCAGCAGGTCCTGCGGCTCTGCCTCCTCCAGGGAGGGTTTCCCTGAGAGGGGTCCCGGCTGTTGCTGTAGCCTGAAAGCTGCCTTTGTGGTTTCCAAAAATCTGCTGGGAGCAGGTGTCCCGGGGTGGTCTGGGCAGCGTTACGTGATGGGGGACGCTTCTGTGCACGGCACGCCGGGCTGCCGCCGCGGCACATGGGCAGCAGCAGGTCCTGCGGCTCTGCCTCCTCCAGGGAGGGTTTCCCTGAGAGGGGTCCCGGCTGTTGCTGTAGCCTGAAAGCTGCCTTTGTGGTTTCCAAAAATCTGCTGGGAGCAGGTGTCCCGGGGTGGTCTGGGCAGCGTTACGTGATGGGGGACGCTTCTGTGCACGGCACGGCTGAGAGGTGGGAGCCTCTGCGGGGACGAGGGGAGCGCAGTTGCCTCTGCTGGTTCCAAAAAGGGGGGAAGGGAGACACATTCTGCTTAGGGTTGGCTGGCTGGCTGGCTGTTGCTCTGCTTCTTGCCATATGGTCTGGAGCTTTCTCGGTCAGTTAAACCCTCGGGGCCCACTTTTCACCAGCAACACATGCTGCAGCAAGCTCAAAACCTATGGCAAGCTTCAAGGTGCCAGGAGCCCATGCAATGATTTTCCAGAGTGCTGTGCAGAGCTCTGGGTGGCAAACCCGGGCACGGTAGGGAGCAGGGACAATTGCGCTTTCAGCTGGTGACACAGAGGGAGTTGGCAGCTCCCACGAAGGGAGCGGGACCTTGCTCTCTGGCAGCTGAGGGCCACTGATGGGGGCTGTCTGCCGAGGCAGTCACCAGCGGGGCCAGTGCTCCGAGTGCTTATGAGCCTTTAAAAGCCACCCCTGAAGGCCCTTTCGGGCTTGCCCTGCCCCTGCTCCTGCTGGAATTGGGCTCAGCAGAGGTCCCAAGTGCAGGTTTTCTTCCGGCGAGGCTGTGTGTGGCATCCCTCGCTCCGTTTGCTGCTCTGCCCACCGCGATGGCTGCAGGTCCCCTGCCTTTGCAGGAGCCTTTCCTGCCCTCTCCCGCTCGCCCCTCATCTCTGCTTGTTTTTTTTCCCCCGATCCAGACGTGCCTGCTCATGCGACAGCAACACGAAGCTGCCGCCTTGAACGCAGTGCAAAGGATGG